TGAGACTTACTAAACAGCTATATTAATTAAGACAATTTGGAAAATGGAAGTGACTGAAAAGGATCTAGTGAGGGTATAGAGAAGAATATGTATCAATGAGAGAGTAGAGAAAGCCAGAGATAGAGCTACACAATAGTTTTGACTGGTCCTTGACCAAGAACCAAACTCAAGTCAATGTAAAAATGGTCTCTGACAAATTGTACTGGAAAAACTAGACATTCAAATGCAAACATTCTAGATACAAGCTTTCTATCATTCACAAAAACTAGTTCAAAATGGACTACAATCCTAGCATATGACTCAAAACTATTAGACTCCTAGACCACAACATAAGAGAAAATCTAGGTTACTTGGGGTTTGCGGATAATTTTTTGGATAAAAGACTGAAAGCAGAACTCACAAAGAGAAATTGGTCATCTGAACTTATTTAACATTAAAAATATTTCCTCAGAAGAAGAGAATGAAAAATGAAGCCACAGATTGGAGAAGAACCTGCAAAATATATCTAATGAAAGAAGGTTTTTTGGTACCAAGAATCAAGTTCAGAACCTTGCACTTGTCAGGCAAACGCAGTGCCACTGAGCTGTATCTCTGCCCTGGAGTTCTTAACATTAAAATAAATGCACTGGAAAATGACAAAAGAGTTAGACACACCTCAGCAAAGATTTACAGATGGCAAATAACCATATGTCTTCACTTAAACCTACAAACAAATGTTTATACCAAATATATTTGTAATTGCTGAATCTTAGAAGCAACCATGGCCTTCCATGGCTTAATGATAAACAAAACTCTTGTATATCCATATAGTGGAATCTTATTTAATAGTAAAAAAGTAACAATAACCAGTGAGAGACATAGAGACACTACATTGCTAAGTGAAAGAAGCCAATTTGGTAAATGTACAGACTGTCTGACTCTCACTATATGGCATTCTGGAAAACAGATTGAAGACAATAAAAGGATTATTGGTCACCAGGAGTTTGGGAGAGAGAGAGAGAAGAACAGAGAAAAAGAGGAAAGAATGAGTGAAACACCAGGACAAGGAATGTTTAGGGAAGTTAACATACTGTATGATGCTGTAATGGTAGAAACATACCTGGTCCACTAAAAAAAACCTGTGAGAAGTACAACACAAGCAGTGATCCCAAATATAAACTAGGAAATTTCATTAAAAATAGTAGCTTAGGAGAGATGGCTCAGAGGAATAAGTGCTTCCCTGGCAAGAGCAAGGGCCTGAGTTCAAACCCCGCTTCTGCCAAAAATAAAAATAGTGGCTTATCAACACTGATTCCTCAACTGTAACAAATACATCACACTTGGAAGACACTAAGAAATAAAGAAACAGCTAGCAGGGGGATATGCTGCAACCCTTATTTTCAACCAATTTTTCTGTAAAACTAGAATTGCTCTAAAATAGAAACTCCATCAATTTGTTTAAAAGAAGATGTTCTTAAAAATGGATATAAGAAAAATGATAGCATATTCAGGGAACAGGCTAGAAGGCATAAAGGGTGGAAGAAAAGTGATGACTAATAAAGCTAAAAAAGTAAGATACTCGGTAAGATCCTGGAAAACTTCATATGCCATGTCATGCTTTCTGGATTTTAATGTAAGCCAAGATTTTTTAAGTTACATAGTGATGTTTCTCCTTTAGTAAAATAATGTCTTGCAAATAAATATGGAACCAAGTGATAGAAGCCTAAAGGACGTAGGGAAAGCTAAAAAAAAGTCTTGCATCAATCCAAATAAGAACTTATAACCAGGGGACTAAGGCCATCCCCAAATCCTGAGCCTACGTGAATGATGTGAACTTTATCTAGAGGGAAGCAAAGGACCATCTCCATAACAATCAGACAAGAAAAACAGTTTCACAGAAGATGGCATAAAAATGATTTCTACAAATAACTCTACAACTTTCTTTCCTTCAGTAAATCATGAAAAGCATTCTAGTTGATTCTTCTGAGGTGGGCAGCTTAGCTAGAAATAAGGCAAGCCAACTATACAACTTTTTAAATAAAATTCTAAGTGTATATGTAATTGAAACATATCACTTTATTGCTACCATTAGCCTTTCTTACCATATTGTGCTGAGAAAATAATTAACCATCATTGGGCATCTCAGTTCCTGCTTTTCCCTGAAGCAAAATATGGACTTGTCATTGTTAGAAACCACTAAATTCCACAGTAAGGCCACAATGAAGAGTGTCTGTCTATATGGCCTTGTGACTATTGACCTGGGGCTCAGCTTTGAATCTACTCCTTGTTTTCTCTGTCCACAGCATCTTCATTTGGAGAATATTTTTCTCCTGGCAAGCAATCATAGGATCTCACTGCACCAAAGTTTCAACCACCCTTGAGTCTAGCTTTAAAGTCCCCTTTCCCCTCAACAGAATGTTCACAGTGAATTTTATAAATACTGCATAGCCTAGGTTTTTTTTTTTTTTTTTTTTTTTTTTTTTTTTTTTTTTTTTTTTTTTTTTTTTGGAACTGGGTTTTGAACTCAGGCCCTTGCGCTTGCCAGGAAAGCGCTTATCCCACTGAGCCATCTCCCCAGCCCCTATAGCCTAGATTTTGATTCCCAATTTGTTAGATTCCATTCCGCTATTTTTAGGTACTTCAGTTATTAACACTTGGCACTACTGTTATTAACAGTTATCAAGGAACATACAGAAAGGTATTAGTCAGGAAAGTTATGGAATTTGAATGGTAGTGGCTACAGAATTTGAATGATAGTGTTAAGGAAGAGAATAAAAATTTGCAAGTTGATTCTGTAGCAATTGGTATCATTAACCAAAAGGAGAAGCAACAGCATGGGCATGCTTTTGAGGGACCTGCAGAAATTTAAGGCAGAGAGGTTTAGTAAACAGTAAGAAATGAGAGACTAGAGAATGAAAACAAAAGGAAATCTAAAAGTAAGGAGCAGGAAAGGCCTCATAAGTGGAAGCTGAAGCTGGAGAACTACCCCAGAGACCGACTATGAAGAGACAAGAAGGGTCTAGAGCTATGTGAGACTGGAAAGAAGAGGAGAGAAGTGGTAGGAGCTATGGCTTTGGTTAAAGTGAGAAAGGATATTGAGTGTTTGGTACTAAAACATGAGAGAACAAGGTAAAGCTTCTAGTGTGGGGAATAAATGCATGCACACACCAGAGGAGAGAAAATGATTCCTCTTTTTTTTTTTTTTTTTTTTTCATCTTGGAAGACTTCGAGGAAAGTAAAACTTTTCACTGCACATTATTTACTTTCTCATTCTAACATGGCACACAGGGAACCTCAGTTGGCCCGGCTCTGTGTTATGGTGGAAGGCAGAAGAAGGAATATGCCCTATGGGGACAGCAATAGGTCAGGATTTACATAAAAGGGTTCCAAAGTTGCTGAGGTCATCAAAGTGGAAGTATGTACCAATACACACAGTCAAGAGACTGTGCTAGAAAGATAAGACTTTAGGTGCCACGAGTGGATGAGATCATTAAGGAAAAAAAAGGAAGGACTGCTTCTGTGGCTGTGCATGAACATATTAGTAACTGGATTTTGTGGGAGAGGTGAAGAAGCAAATAAAGGAAAAGGAGTGGTCCTACAAACAAGAAATCTAAAAATAACTATCATAGAGGCCATGGACATACAATTGTTCAAGAGAGGAGCAAGCCGCAGCTCAAATCCCAGACCTGTCAAAAGAAAATGAGATGAGAGGGAAAGTACTAAGTTAAGGCTTTTGCAGAAGAGTCAGGCTAGAAACCCATTGCAAAAGACCATAGAAAGAGTCGGTGCTGAGACTAGGAACTTCAAGATGGCACTGTGGGTCAGCCAAAGGATTTTTAGAAAAGCAGAAGTATGCCTGTCCATCAACCCAGGATAATGAACCAATGAATAAAAAGAAAATTAATACATTGGAGAAGAGGCAGAGATAACAGATAGGAAAGTAGCCTAACAGAAGCAAGATGAAATGGGATCACAAGACCAAAGTGACATCCAGGCCACATACACCTTCCTGGGGAGGTGATTCTCCTGAGCCTCATTTCTAGGGATTCCACCTAACTACAGTTAAGTATTCCACGTGAAAGATGAAGATCACCAGGCCTCATCTCTGTATGTGGCTCATTCTTGTACACAGCATTGCGATGAGGAGGGCAGTCTCCAGATCTCCGGAGAATTCCCCATCATTTCTACTCATACCCCACTGTGCAAAACTAAATAGGGGCACCGGCGACAGCTGCTCTGTGTCATGTGGGACGACTCCCTTCTCCAGAAGTGAAATAGAAACTTGAAAAGATACAATTCCTAGGGGACGGTGCATATGGAGGTGGGGAGATTAACAGGTGCATGCTGTGCTCTTCCTTTATTCAAGAAAAAAGGAATGGCCCCTGGAAATTAAGGGAATAACGCGATGATCAAGAAGCCAAGTTGTCTGAGCGTCATCCTTTCTGCCCAGTTATCACGCCGGCAGTTTCTTTCTATTCTCAGCTCTAGCCTCAATTGCTATGCATTTGAAGAGAAAAAAAATTCAAACATCGGAGAATGTACTCTCCTACCTATTTCTTTTTCTTTCACCCACCAAGTGCCCGATTTCTTCTTTTCATTTGTTGGCTCTTGTTTCTCTATCACTATAAAATACAGAACGGTGGACGCGCCTCTCCAGGCCGAAAGGGACCCAGGACACCCACACAAGTTTACAAGGACTTGTAAAAGTCCTTACTGGCGTGCTCCTTTCCTCGCAGCTAACAGACCTCGGCGAGGCAAAGCCTGGAGCGCACACGCCTGATCTCTCAGCTCCGAGCAGTGGAGAAGACAGTGGTTGCCTCGGGGAATAGCGACAGGGAGAAACCGCTGTCACACTGAGCTAACGCAACGCCACACGTCCACACACAAACAGCACACGCACAAGACAGCTGGGTGTGGAGATGGAGCGCACCCCGCGCATCGCACAGCGCGCGCACGCGTGTGTCCGACCTTGTCCCCTACCCCCGCGCGCCTCCGGGACCCAAGCCCGGCAGCCCACGAACCTCACCAGACCGCGGGTAACTTTCCAGGTGCGCAGATGGTCTTCTGCGGCTCGCGTCCTCTCTGTAGCGCCCTCCCAGCTGCGCGCGAGCCGAGCGCAAGTCCGCTCCGCCGGCCCCAGGGCGGGTGCGCAGCGAGGACCCGGGCTGCGGGCGGGTGGGGACGCGACGAGCGCTGCGGCGGGCTGGCGGCTCCCAGCTGCTCCGCTGGGCCGGCGCGGCGGAGGCGCGCAGGGAGGGGGCGGGCAAGAGGAGGGCGGGGGTCAGCCACGGCTGTGGCGTGGAGAGCCCAAGCCGCGTTCCTAAAGGTGGAGCCACCCGCGCGCTCACCCACGCCAGCCCGAACCTTGACTCCCAGGCACGCTGGTGGCAGTCGCCGCAGTCTGCACTTTATACCCCATACCCTCCAGAGGGAGGCAACTCAGGTAGGGCGATAACATCGTGGTTGTAAGCATTTTTGAAATGTTATTGTTGTTTCTATTTCAAGCGTGCGGAACGAGGCTCATCTTTCCTGCTCTCCCCCGACTGCTTCACTGCAGGCGCTCTCCATCCCACCGCCGTCCCCGGTGCGCACAGGCCCGCGCACCCTATCCTCTCTCCCCCTCTCACGTCCGCGCCCGCTAGGAGACATGTGACCCCAGGGCGCCGCGCTCTTCCCGGACTCTGGAACCCTACTTGTATCTAGTTTGTCAGTTCACGTGATGCTAAGGGCAGTGGTTGAGACAGAGGTTACACCCCTGAGTGGAATCCGTAGGACTTTAGCAGGGAGCTTGCTAGACCATTCGAGCAGGCTATTTCTAGCTCTCTCTTTGCCTTTTGAGTACGTCTTTTTTTCTGGGGTGTACATCATCAGACAGATACTGACATGCATGATACAGAATATAGATAGAGCTACCCCACACTGTGTTATTTGCTGCGCTCTGGAGTTCTGAGATGGCCAAGCGGCCTTCTCCCTTTCCCGCTGCCCCCAGAGGAATTTTACTGGCAAACCCACCCAGCACAAGGGCGGTTTCTGTGTTGAGCCCTGGGAGCGAGGCACAGTGAAGGTCTATTCTTCCCTGTGCATCTAGAGCCCAGCACCCCTGGGGTTTAAACCACACGGTGGCAGTGGGCTACGTGCACCAACATGCGCCATTACATACATACCCTTATAGCGAAGCGAGGCCCGAGCAAGTATGTTGAATGGGGCCATTAAGTTTCCAAGGAGAAAGAATATAGTGCTGTTTGTTTTTGTGCTGACTGGAGAAAAATAAGCAAAAGTACAAAGGACTTTTCATGATCTTAAAGCAGAATCTGTACGTTAATACTGGCCACCAGTTAAGCTCAATAAATAAGAAAGCTCAATAAATAGAAAAAGACCAGAGAGAAGAATTCCCCGGGAAAGGGTCAATAGTTAGGTCATTGCTAACTCTCTGATTTAAATCAGTGGACACTGTCTATGAAATTAAAGATAAAGATGAGAAAACAGGAGATTTTTAAAGTCCTTACATTTCATGCAAGTCAGACTGTGTTTGAACTGTGGGTTGTTAATTACTAAGTTGTAAACAACACATTGACTCAAAAGAACCATTTTAAAAAGTGACATGGAATAGAACAGCAGACCATAATATCACGAGAAGAAAAAATAAATATTATTTAAATCTTTCATTGCCATTAAATGTATGCACGTGTGCGGGGTCCACAGTGCCATACAACCTTTCTAATTGTGTGTTGAACTGAAGACTGGGAGGGTCTCTGGGTGCAGATGCTGCCCAGGTCACCAGGGAGGCAGGGTGTTACTGAACTTAGGTTCCATCTTAGCCATCCTGTGCTCTGTCAACCCCAGCATACTGAGAGGAAGAGGAAGAGGGGGAGAAGGAGGAGGAGGCAGAGTGCTAGGGATCACTGCTTAATCCTTCATTCCATTTGCAACAAAATCTTGCTCTATCTCAGGCCTAAAACTGGGAGTTCAATGAGCAGCAAATTACCTTTTCATTTCTGTCAACTTAAAGTCCATTAATCTCAGGGGAGCAAGCATTAAACAAGTAAATACAAAAGTAAACATATACATGATAAATGTAGGACTGATGAAAAGTAAGATGTATATTTAAACCTTTGAATATTTATTATAAGACACATTGCCATTAACTCCCCTTCGATTAGAACAGCTATCCTGTCCCATCATTCTTGTCTCTTTCTGAAGCACTTCTGCAAATCCTCTTTCATAAATACCTTTATGAGGTATGATTAGCCCTACTCTGGATGCTGTTTCCAAGTGCCATCCAATGGAAAGGCAGGCTCAGAAAAACATTACAATGTGTTTTCAACCAGTGTATTCACCAGATCTGGTATTGTATGGCTTCTAGCTTTTCACCCAAATCAAAACAACAATGAAAAGTAAACACTTTGGATTGATGTAAGACAATGAGAAAGCCACAAGAGAGCAGCTGAAGACAGTCATGGAAGATTTTCAGAACTGCTTAAGACAAGTGGTAAGAATGATGGGATGTGTTTAAAGCCAAGAAGTATTTTGAGGGAAGTGGCAATGTATTTTTTATTGTAATAGATTTTTTAGTTAAAGGGTAGGCATTTGTTCACCATAATTTTTGTCATACCCTTGAAGAAAATTATAAAGGAAAAAATACGACATCGTAAGATGTGGTAGGTTGCCATTAATAACATAAGCTAAACTGCCTGAATGATGAAGAAATTTGTTGTTTCAGATGGCATGAAATCCCAAGATCAGACAGCTCTCAAAGGTGAATTGAGCAACTCAGTATTGTCATGGCGGGCTCTGAGTTGTCTCCGCTGCTTCCAGCCATCTCTACCATGCCAGCTTTGTCCCTAGTGTTCCCACCTGCGGTGTCAGATGGCTGGAGCAGCTGCAGTTAATGCAGTCCTGACATGTCTGAGGGCAGCAGAAAGTTCTTATTTTCAAGAAAGGGGAAATCTTCCACTTGAGCTTTGCATCTGCCATTAGTCAATGCTGAGTCAAAAGCCCACCTCCAAATCTGGAGAACCCAGGAGGAATTACCCCAGGTAGCTGGCAAGAGCTCTTCAGGATATGGCCCTGAACTGTCCAGCAGTGTTTTCTTTGTGAAGTGGATACTGGAGCAAAGAGGAGAAGGTGGACATGGATGTTGGGTAGGAAATCTAAAGTCAGGTGCTGGGACTCAGGGCTGCCTTCTCCAAGAAATGATGATGTTGAAACCCAAATGAGTGAGACTCAGAGGATAAGAAGGAAGCCCTGACAGGCAGAGGAATCTCAGGGGCTGAAGTCTGACTCTGCACCATGTGCTGAAGGATTTACTCTCTCCCCCAGAAGAGGCAAGCAGACCTCATACAGCAAGTTCGAAGAGTTAAGTAACATCAATTCACAGAGCTAATAAGTTTCAGGGCTAACCTATGTCATTTCAGAACCTAAGAGCCTGGCCTTTCCTGCATCTCAAGAGAGTGAGAAGCCATAAGCCACTCCTCTCTACCCTTAACTGAAAAAAGACAGACCTCTCCAAGTTCCTCTGAATTATTTCTCTGGACCTTGAGCATTGCAAGATATGTGTTCATGAACAAATTTCTCCTTCCTACCAGGTTTTCCACTGCTCCACTGGGAATCTGGTCTCTGCTGAGCCTTGCCAGCATAAGGCTAGGGTTCTCATGATGTCAAAGCTAAAGGAAGTCTAGGGACATGGGAAGGGAGAAAGGCTCTTCTTCTCTTTGTTATGCACACAACTAGAAAAGTACTCAAGCAGACGCCATGTTTCTCAAAAAACTGTTTGGCCTTCTTTCCCAGGGAACTACAGCCAAGTGACTGAGCTGGACACAGAGTCAGCAAGTCAGACTTAGAAACTCCTGGACTACCTATTTCCTTTGAAACTCATCCATCCTGAGACTTGTTTTTTGGAAAATTGGTTTCTACACAGGAGGCCCTATAGTTACAGCTGCACACAGATACCCTTTACCCAACAGATCAGTCCTGGGCACTAAGCATTTGAACTTCAGCTCAGAGCATCCCAGGCTCAGGTTGAGCTCCCTTCTGTGTACCGGCAATCTCCTGGGGTCATGAGAGGAACAAAACCACTGTCTGCTGGTTGACACTCCTTTTCTCACCATCTCTTGGGTTTAGCACCTTTCTTTCATTCATTCTCTCACATGTTTATTCTGCCATTCTGGCCCCATAAGCAGACATTCATTGTGCATTCTGATTGGCTTTGCCCAACCCTAACCAAAGAAAATTATCACACCTATAATATTCAAATAGCAGAACTAAACAAAAGGGATACAGATGAATGTCCATTTTGTATCTGTGTATTCAAAATGGTTAGGATAGATATATAGTTATATTCTCTTAATGAATAGAGGGATTTGTTCTAGTAGAGTTTGTAAATAGGATATCATGTCTGTATCTTGTACAGCAATTAACCACTAGGATGAATGTATGCAATGTGTTAATTATTGAAACTGTCCTACCAATTTGGTTTGAAACCGTCTCGTTGCTATTTGTTTCTCAATAAAATTATGGAGGAAAAAATTATCATTTGCCCTTGAGACCTTTGCTGTTTGGGCTTCAGCGCCACTTAATATGGTTATGAAGCAAGCCCAGCTGATTTCACCACATGGTGGGAGGGAAAACATTTTTGTGTTTTCTAATGTTCTTGCAGCCAAGGAGTCCTCTGTTCCCCGGGGTGCCACTAGTCCCGTGCAGCCCACTGACCACCAGTGAGCAGTGCTCTCCTCTGTAGTCCCCCAGCATTGTGCTGTCTTGCTTACAAAGTAAGCAAAGTCTATCTGCCTCACTAGACTTAGCAGAAGGGACTTTGTTGTATTAATTCTTATGTCAGCAAAACACACATACTCAGATCTCTTCATTATTGAAAGAACTATGCAAAAAATTAGACTCTTTAATCTGCTATTGTATTTTCTTTTTTTAAAAAAAAAAAAACCTGTTTGCCAAGATACCAGAGACTTTTTTCTTTTTTGGGGGGGAGGTACCAGGAACTGAACTCAAGACCTTGTGCTTGCCAGGTAGGTGCTGTTCCACTGAGCTATATCCCCAGCCCAAGAGATGTGAATATTTCAGGTCTAGTTCCTTCATGGGAGCTCATTTCTAATGTACTGGTACAATCCTCCAGGCCCAGCACTGGGATCATTGTCCATTCTTTTCTGTTTTTTCCAAGGGGACAGTGGCCTCTCCCT